GTGTGCCGCACCTGTTCTTTGCCTGCAGCGTGTCCTTATCAATTGGATAGCCCCGGCCAGACCCTCTGCGTGCATTTGGCCCCTGCACCACTTCTCCTCCTGCCAAACAGCAGATGCCAAATTAAGCAGACCATGCCAGGACAATAGAGTGGAAAGGGAAGCCCACAGCCATGCAGGAAGCAAACACAATGATGAGAGCAGCTAGCACAGCGAGCCACCGTATCTGCATTGTCCTTAGAATTTACTGTTGAAATATAGAAAATGTGCGGATGGGGCAAAAAACAACAAAAAAAACTGTTTGTGGGACATGGTAATAAAGTGGGGAGAGGAATTCTGAATAGCCATTGGATTGCTCTGCTAACGGCTAGACCTCTTAATAGGATTTTCTTGGATGCCCGCTGTCCTCTCAGAGCAGTTATTTTCTCTGAATTAACGCAAATATATCGAGTCTGTAAAGGCAGAGGCCACAGAGCAGGCTTTAAAGAAATATGCTGATGGTTCACCGACATTAAAAGGCTGAAAAACAATACAGAAAAATGAAAAAGCGGCTTATCCCATTAGCTTATTGCTTTGAACATGGGAACTTCCCCTGATTAAGAAAGAAGCATGGAATCGGTAACGGTGCTGGGGGTGCAGCCAATTCCGGCATAAGGATGATGTGATTGTGCAACCAGCAGGCAGGCCAACAGGCCCGAGCAGTCTGGATGTGAAACATTAGCTGTGAAACAGGGTGGCTCCTGGCAGCCATTTTGAATCAGGCTCTATTCGTCAAAGTTTTTCCTTTTTTTTTATTTATCTTAAAGCATCGTTGCTTTGAAGAGTTCCATTCTGTCCCATCAGCATTTTGTGTGAATGTGCTGCTATCTAGCCTAGAAAGCTTTGTGACCTCCAGTCAGATTATCGCTTTGCTTTTACCCCTCTGGATCTGTCGTCTCCCTGCTGTTCAAGATGACTTGTGCATGTGTGTGTGTGTGTGGGTGTAAATATATATACACCCACACACACATATATATATATACACACATATGTGCAGATCCAAAGAAGGAAGCCACATATGAGCAAACTATAATTGTGCATATTAAGTGGTACAGCCGCTGATCCCACTTCCGAGAAACTTCTGTCTTAGTTCAAATCCCTCTTTTCTTTGCCTCCCGTTTATTCCCTCGCTGTTGTCTGTGTTTTTTTGTTCTGTTTTGTTTTTTCAAACGGCGTCACAGCACTTGCCAGGGGAAGCTCGTCTCTCCATCTCCCCTCTTCTACCTTTTGTGTTGTGGATTTACGATCCCCTCTGTTTGCCGAGGAAGAAGTCAACAGGGGCTTTCGGGGCAGGGGAGCACAGGCAGAAGCAGGCAGCCTCACTAAAAAAAGAGAAACGCCACCGCACACAGTCACACACGTATGTCGACGCGCGCACACACTTGCGCGGTGTCAGCCGACGCGTTAGAAGTGTTGGCATCTCGGGATGATTGAAGGCATCTACGTGGCTCCTTCAGTGTGGTGACAGATGCCATCTTCAGGAGCAACTCAATGCCTGCAAGTCTGCAATTGTTCACATCCCCCAGGGCTCACCACAGGTCAGAAAAAAACAGAATAAAATACAGTTAAATCGAAAAGAATTTTGGATTTTGAATAATCCTTTTCTGTTTTTATTCACTGAGGCCCCAAACATAAGACTAAACTCTTGTTCTTGTCTGAGGATACAGTTGATACCTGACAGCAACCCTCACCACAGGTTCTTAACATTAGCAGCTATTGTGCTGCTTTCAGTGGTTTCACACAGGCTACCTCATCAGATGATGAATTACTCCGTCTGATTGTTTACAATCTCTATTATGTGTAATTATATGATAAGATTGTGCCTTTTATTGTTTCGCAAACATATTACTGTAAGGACGTGAGTTAAACATTCAAATGAGAGGAAGGAGATTTTGTCTCCTGTCTTTCTTTGGGAGGGACGTTTCCCTTGTAGCTGGGCCGGACCCCGCTGTTCTTTTATTAGGTCACACTGCGATATATAATTGATACAGTTTACAGTAGCATCGACCTTGCTTTAAACAGTGGAGTTAATGCTGCTGTAGGATCTCGCATTGGCAGCCAGCCAGCTCGGCGGCAATGCAGAGTGTCCATAAAAGAAGTCAAATGTCTTACATTTCTGCGGTGCAGTGAATGTCTCTCATGCATGTCCTGGAATGAAAAGGCAGTGGATGTGATAACCGATCTTTCCTGTGAAGAGATAAGGGGGCTAAATCTCCTATTTGGCTTGTGTTGCCTGCATCGGCGCTGGTGTGAGGCACAACATTTAGGTCAGGTGAGGCTGTCGGGGCCCATTTACCTGAGGCCTCCAAGTCTGAATGCGGGGAGACATGTCAGCCCCCATGATTACAACCCTAGCCTCCTTTCTTTATAAATGTTTCATGAACTTGTTATGTCATGCTCCTGTAGTTCACCACAGCCTTGAGTGATGCAAGTGATGAATTCATCACATGCCGAGATAAAGTGCTTGCAAAAGAGCAAGCATAGGAGAACAGCGTCAAGACACAGGGGAGGGCAAGAGGAGATGAAAGGTGGCGGTGAGAAATTTGGGAGTTAATAACGGAAGGGGAAAGAATGTATGAAAGATAAAAACAGAGGGGAAGGAGGGGGAAAAAAGGGAAACGTGGCAACAAAAAAAAAATGTCAGGAGAGGAGAGGAGAAGGATCAGAGTTAGACATTCAGGGGCAGCGAAGTGGCATGGCCCCTGTGCCTGTGATGCCTGCAGACTTTTGTGTTACCTCACCGGTACCTCAGATGCACACACACATACACACACCATTACTCTTCTATTGTTGTGGCAGGGCCCCCTAATGGAGCTTCCCATTTGAGTCCAGATAGGCACACACACACACACACTCCCTGCTTCATAAGTACACACATTCGCGCAAACACAGGAAGATTGACAGCTTGTCCCCCGGCTGCGGCTGCCACGCATGATTGATGGCAACATTCCACCGAGGATGCACGAGGCGGGGCAGCGGTGATTCAGGATTGGGAAGCAGCTCGGTTTAGGAACCGAGGCGCACAACACAGGGGACGTGAGATGGTTGTCGGTCAAGCGGCCGCACGGAGAAATGGAGAGACGAGTTTGTTTGAGCGTAAAATCAACAGGAAGGGACGTTTCAAGTTCACAGTAAACAATACGGGCACCCACTCTCTCTCCTACCACCCAAAGACACACTCCTCACACTCGAACCTTCCCATCACCCGCTAAGACGCAAGCATACAGAAAGATATTTACCAAAACACTCCAGGGGAGGAAAAACTAATTACATGCATAGCCCAATGTGCGCCGCACAGAAATCTAATCTCTTCAGATTTAGCTCATGCCATTGAGTCTGATGGCACCCCGACAGCATAAAGTCCATACGCAGTCAATCTGAGACGTATGAGAATTTTAAATGAGATGTAATGGGGAAATTTGCAATATTGCAGCCTTTATTGAGAGATGACAACCAAGTAACTCTTCAGTGGAAATGACCAAAAGGCAGCGCGCAGTGCACCCTGAGGCGCATTGTGAGAATAAATACAGAGTGCAAGTACTTTCCATCTCTCCTAAAAATCATGAAATCAATAATTCTCAACATCAGGGTAGACTTTAAAGCGGCCAAAGGCAACTTCATTCCTTTTTTTTTTCTGCCAGCAATTTGTAACGCCTCGGAGTGCTTTTTTATATTAAAAAAACAAACGAACAAAATAAAAACTCACTACCATCCCAATGTGAAAGGTGCAACCACGGGGGTGGCAAATAATATCACAACCTCTGAAAAAGGCCGAAGGGCATGAGGCTACCGCACTGGATCTTAAATATTCCAGGTCTAAGCTCCTCTGGACAAATGTCAGATGTTCATAGGATCAGTTGGAGACCCATCTATCCATACAGTCATATGTCTGTCTATATAGTCATGAATCTGCATTCCATCCTGTCATGGACATATTTTAAATAATGCTTGAGTGATGGCTCGGAGTTGATAATATGCAGTGGAATCAGTCCTGTAAATTTGAAATGAGTTTTTGAAATAGGTAATGGCTTAACCCTGACTGAGTATATTTAGCATTCCATATTTATTCCACATTAGTTTGAAACTCAGCTGTAAGGTAACGCCAAGGCTCTGGACTTGGACAATAGGCTCCACTTGAGCACGGATATACACACTAGAATACAATTGACACTAACAAAGACATTTAGAATAAAGGGAGGAAAACAACTGGCGACCCAGTGTGAATACAACACATGCACGGTTTGTATTTAAAGACAATAGGTTGAAAGGGCACTGACATTGAGAAACATATGCTCTGTTGCGCACACTCTCCAGCTCGTCATCCATTTTTTTTAAACATGTAGCCCTTAAACAGGGCCAGCGTGAATAATTGAGCTGTTTCATAATGAAATATTGACAGTCAAAGACAGTACCATATGCATTTAAGTGGCCCTCCTGCCTGTGATGTCATGGCGTTATGAATCATGCATGACACTCAAAGAATATTTTTTTCCGCCGAGTTGAGCTGCAAGAACGGCTGCCGTGTGGCACTCCCCCAGGAAAGAGTGGTATTCTTTCGCAGGAAAGAACAATCATCGGCCTTATTTAAGACTTTATGTTTCGCTCGGAATTATTCCGTTCCCCCAGATCCGTTAGATTATTGTTGACAAAATGGTTTAGAAATTATTCCTACAGTGGAAGGGGATGAATTGCGTTGCTTTCATAATGGATCTGACATGTTACCACTGTGACTGGGGATGAAACAGTTTTCATTTGGAAGTCATCAGAAACATGAGCTACTCGCTGTCACAGCTGTTTAGTGCTGTGTAAACGCGTGCCTGTGAATGTGTTTGTGTCTGCACTTTATTATTTACGCTTGTAGGCCGCCGCTCACGTCCCTAAAGCAGCAGGAGGTCGATCGAACGCAGCTCTTTTACGTTCGGTTTTTCTTTGCATTAAGATCCTTCCGTCTTCTCTTTGGTCAGATTACCGTCCACCTCAAATGATCCCACCCATCAAAGGAGGGGGTCCGATGGGAGGGGGGGGCTCGTCCTCTTCGTCCACCAGCCGGGCCACCACCACGAGGTCTCCCCCCTTCTACACCACGCCGAGGCCTCTCCTCACCACCTCCCCCGGCCAGCGGTATCGGACCACCACCACCGTCCGCCAGCCCATCTTGATCGCAGCCGGAGGTTCGTCGGACGACACCAATCAGATTCCCGACTCCAATCAGAAAGGCGGGCGCTCCCCTCCCGTGCAGGCCGCTCCCGCTGTCCCGCAGCCCCCCGCCCTGCCGCCCCAAGACTTCTGTAGTCCGAGGGTCATGGCGGACATATCGTGGCCTCGGACGCAGCAAGGCCAGATGGCCAAGCAGCCCTGCCCTGTCGGGACTCTGGGTAAGGAGGATGGACGGCATAAGAGTTTAATTATAGCAACCATGAACACACGCATCGTCCAAGTGTTAACATTGTTGTCTGCTCCCTTTAATTACTATTAATAGTAATTATATGTTTTTGTTATTGTTTGTCAAAGTACTGGAAAACTTTTACAGATACACAAAAACAGTAAAGAGACAACAACCCGTGTAATGGGATCGCTGCCTGTTTGACGGCAGTGCTACTATGAAAAACAGATGTATATTGTGTTTTCTGTGTGTCCACACACGACATGTTGTGTTTGTTTTCTAAATTGCAAGCCTGGTAACAACCCACTAAGTCCAACAGATAAAAGCCGATAAATCAATACATTTTCATTTAAGAAAAGATGAGGAATTACTGACCCGGGGAGGCATTTGAAATTCAAACGCGTTTCAGGTTTCATCTTTATTGGATGAGGAAGTGCGTGGCGTGTGCATGCTTTCCCAACACGTCCTAGCTGCTCAAATCCCCGCCCCCCCCCACCCCCAGTTTTAATCAAATAGCTTCTGTGATAAAAATAATCCTCCAGTTCCTCCAGCTACCATTGTCACCCAGGCAAGCTCTGCAAACACAAAATGCCAAGCAGCATGAGAGTCTCCGTGTCTCTTGATGAATGTCAACACTGTCTCAGGCTGTTTGCTTTTCTTGTCTTGCAGGCGTGGCTACATACATGTGCGTGGCCCATTTGGGCTACTGGGATCCCCAAGGCCCCGACCTCAGCAACTGCACGTCACCTTGGGTCAACCACATCATGCAGAAAGTGAGTCTGAACGCTGCCGCTGGCTCTCAGAGTTCCCACTGAGCCCTGGATTAAGAGTGTGTGCTATGGATACAGCCCCCAAGCAGTTTTCCTCACTCGTGAAGAGGCAGTGGCCACAGGGAAAGATTTAGGCCATGTATCCATCTCCATTCGTTAACCTTAAGTCATGTTTGAGGTCCGCTTTAGCCGAAGGGAAATGGAAATATCCAATAAGGTCATTTTTTTCACAGTTTGCTGTTATTGTTATCTCGATATGCCGGTGGATATTGTGATAGGCTAATTGGCTAATGGGCTGAGGGGAAAAAAAAGGAGAAAAACTCTGATCTGCCTTCCAAAGATTACTTAGGAAGAGACACAAATGAAATCAGAAAAGAACAATAAACCTGAAAGAGAAAAAAATTGCTTTATTTAGGAAACACAATTTAACGTTTTGTTTTAAAAAATCTCTCTCATAGAAATTATTTGTTGATAAATCCAAAATCTCATCACCCTGTTCTAAAGCGTGGATTTCGAAGAGTTTTGTGTTCATCTTTTTTTATATTTTCTGGAAGGTCGGATGACTTTTGATCATGTTCAAATGAGAGTGGAGTTCTTTGTGTGTTTCATCTGTGAGTCAAAGTCTGACCGTGGCCTGGTGAACTTTACCATTGCAATGGTAATGCTGAAATAGTTTCTCTAAAAGAAGTATTGAGTGTTTTTATGCAAAATGCACAAGTAAACCAACACACAAAAAGTTCAAAATGACCCAGTGCATTGACAGTTTTCTCCTCTCTACACCCCCTTACATCACTCACCTTTTATTCCCGTTTATTTTTCCCACTGTCTGCCTTTTGTCTTTGTCTGTCCTCGGCTCACATTTCTCCATCCGTCACTTGCTGCAACTTTTCTTTCCACTTTTTCTCCTATTCACCAATTCTCACCTCAAATTACTTTTTCGTTTTTTTGTTTTTTGTTACTGCCATCCATCTTTTTTTTTTTGTTGCATTCACTTTTTCACCGTTTTTCCCCTCGCTGCCGTCCACCTTTCGCTTGCAGCTCCGCTCAGGCGAGACGGCGGCCATCGTGGCCAGGGAGCTGGCAGAGCAGACCAAAGGACTCCTGCGTCCTGGGGATGTGCCCTCCACCGTACGGGCCATGGCCCAACTGGTGGAACTCCTGGACGTCCAGCTCAGAAACCTCACTCCAGGGGGCAAGGACAGCGCGGCCCGCAGCCTCACCAAGGTATGAAGTGAACGACTGAATGGTTGAATGAGGGGAAGATGGTTTTGAGTACGCTTACAAATTCCACATTTATAGGAAATAGGAGAACGAGAAACAGAAGTGTGGGGAAAAGTGTATGCAAGGCAGTCAAAAGAGGAATAGTGTTACTTTATTGTCTTGTCCCACGTTTTCTAGAGGGGTTTAGAACAAGCATTTGATTTTTGGTGAAGAGCGGAGCAAACAGTAACACGACAGATGTTTACATTGCTCTGGCTTTGAGTAATATGTTATGCTGAAGGCTGCTTTTAGTCTTTGGCGGGGTCAGCTTATCTCAGATCAGGACTAAAATTGATTTTGGACTCCGTCTCAGTTACCCTCATGGAAGCATAGCAGTACTGCGCAGTCATTTTGGATAGATCTGATGTCATATCCCATTAATTTAGCTTTAGTCTCGCAGCTATAGCTAATAAAGATGCTATTGACAAAAAGACTTAAGCCTTTACATCAGGATCACATCAAGTGAAACTGAAAGGATCTCCTTCTCCCACAGAAGTAAATAGGAAGTGCTCCGCTTTATTCAAATAGGCATTCGGTGTGCGAGTTTGATTAAACGGAATTGTCAGACTGGCTAACTTGACTGGCCTGATGGTTTGTTACTTAGAGCCAACTGGGAAGTCCTCCACAGAAAGTGTTTAGAAATGAGCAGGCCTATTGAAAACTACTTAGTAGATAATTGGATTAAGCTTCAGTCCATCCATGTTAAGAGCAAAGTTGAGGCTAAAACAATCAGAGAAAAGAGCTTATATTAAAAGAGCTATATATTTTGCATACATTTCAAGGATGTTTTTGAATACGTTACATTGCTTTTATGTCGCATCCCCATTAGTTAAATAGGAATTTAAAATAGGGAAACAATTAAGCTGTCCAAATGTAGTCAGACATTATTATTCAGTTTAGTCAGAAAAAGACTAAAACTTGACCAGAACTGCCAGTACACTACGATCATTAGTCCAAACTTTTGTGTGTTGGCCATATATCCCGGACAGTCTGACGCACTGATTTTTTCCCAGAGCTGTGATAATGAACTGTTTTTAGATAGTCTGCTGGGCTCAGCTGTGACTGTGGGGTTCGGCTGTCAGACTTAGGCAGTTGCTAACATTTTGATTCTGTTTTAGCATCAGAATCCCCCCCTCCCCCGTCACAACTTTCACATCTCCTCCGCTGTGGTGCCGTAATAATTCCAATTACAAGAAATAAAAACTAGGGCACCTGTAAGTGAAAGTGCATTTAATCAGTTATTGTTACAGGACAAATGTCGGAAAAATAGGGGATTTTTAATTTTTTTATGGGGGCCAACTCATGTGGAAACGGAAAGGACATTTCTGATTTGAAAAAAGTCAAAATTACAATGCATTATAAGAAGCCCTGCATTGGTTTATGATGCTTGTTGAATTATTAACCTGTTCTACGGTAGATGCAGAGTCACTCAGTAGGTCATTGTGGAAGAAAAAATGTGAGAGGAAAGGTAATTATGGCTTTAGGAGAGGAGGTAAAATCGGGGGAATAATAATGTATTTCGGCCACCAAAAGTGTTTTTTCTCACACTGTTAATAAAGTAAGTGTGAATGCCTTTTGTGTGTGATTGAGAGGTGTTGCATCGCTAACGGCTTAATTATTTGAATTTCCAGCTTCAGAAGAGAGAAAGGTCCTGCAGATTTTTCACACAGGTATTTCTTCCTGGTTTGGTCGACAACTATGTCACACCATGGTCCACTGTGTTTTGTTTTTTTTCTTTTTAACACTGAGCATGCGATCTGCCAAGCAAGCTTTTGTATGTCTCCGTGTACAATCGCGCATAACAAAACTCTGCATAGAATTTGAATTCTATGCAGCTGTCTCATGATTTTGCCTCCCGATCCTTTCAGGATTTGGTTCTTATTAGATATCTGTCACATCTGCTTCTGGTTCAGGTTTTTAGTCGCCTCAAAGGTATTGTTCATATTCTTTTGCTCTCAATTTTGAAAACAACCCCAATTCCAAAAAAAAAACAAAAAAAACTTGGGATACAGAAAATAATTATGAATAGAAATGGAATGCTAATGGCTGCAAATCTCATAAACCAATTTTTAAAAGCCACAGTAGAACATTTAGATCATTTAGATCATTAAGAATTTTGAAACCAGCAACATTTCTCTAAAAAGTTTGGAGAAGGAACATGTTTACCGTTTGATAACAGCCCTTAAACATCTGGGGAATGAGATCACCACTTGTTGGGCCTTCTGGGGAGCAATGGTGTCTCGTTCTTCTCTGATGGAAGACTAACTGCCCTGCAGCTTTGGGTCTTCATATTTATTCATTTTTTCTAGATTTATGATGTGTCAAATGCTTGTAGTTGCCGGAGTGCAGGGCAGCCCTCTGCTAGGAAGCCACGCTGTTCTAATGGAGGCGGTATGCGGTTTAAATGAGATTCCATCTAAAAGATGCCATCTAAATGGGAGCACATGCTGCTTTAAAGCACGCATATACCTTTCTAAATAGATGGCGCCTCTCCAGATGTGTGCGTTTCCAGTTCCATAGGCATTAAAGCACCCCCATGCCATGAAAGATGCAGTCTTTAGAACCGGAGCTGGATGGTCCATCTTCACTCTAGTCCAGAGGATGTAGTGTCCGCGATTTCCCAAAGGAATTTCAAATTTCAATGTGTGCGACCACAGGATAGTTTTCCACTTTGCCCCAGTCCATTTTCAACAGGCTTTGGCACGGTGAGGCCTGCAGGATTTCTGGATTATGTTAACATATGTCCTCCTCTGCATGACGGAGCTTTGCCCTGCATTTGTGTTCACAGACAATGACATCTGGAAATGTTGAGTTCATGCCATGATTTCCAGGACAAAAGTCATGCCTGTTTCTCCTATCTTTGAAATCACGGTCATCCAATTTTGACCTATAGCCACGTCCCTTAGGCAAGAGATGTCTCTGGACACCATGTTCTTTTGATGAAATTATACACCATACACAATGGAATATTTAATGTCTTTTCATTTTCATGAAGATAATCATTTCTCTGAAATTGCTCCACACTGTTATTTCCATTTTGCAGAAAAGCGGCCCATCGTTACTTTGGTGAAACCCTCCCTCATTAATGTGCCCTTTTTGTATACCCAGACCTGTTGTCTGGGAATTGAGACGATTGAATTCAACACGTTCCTCCAGCCATTTATTTTCAGCACCACTTCCTTCTCCAGTTTGCCACTTTTGAGATGTATTGCAAACGCCAAATTTAAAAATATTTAACTAAATGTATCTGATTTCTATTGGTTGAAGAGGTCAGCAAATCATTGCATTCAGTTTCAGTTTACAGTTTAAACTCCATACCAAAGTTTCATGGAACTGGGGTTGTATTTCTGTGTTTCTTTTAAACTTTTTTTCAAAATCCAGAATTGAATTGACCAATTGGAGTCCATGATCAGAACAGATAATTGCTCACCTAATTATCAGTTCTGCCTGCAGAACTGCAACCAGGTCGGGCTTGGAACCAGATGACTGCTTATCCTTCTATGTTCATTAAAACGCCATCGCACTCTGTTGCCATATCAAAGAGACGCAACTGAGTGTGATGGATGTGTACAGCTTGGTCGCCGCCTCAGATATAATACCAGCTTGTGTTTGTGGTTCAGTGTTATTCGTCCTTTGTTCTGCTGGCCTGCTTGTGTTGATGTTTGTCTGTGTGGACAGCCTAACAGAAACCCCAGCATCATTTGGACATGTTTTTGGTCAGCTAAAAAAAACCCTTTTTCAGAACATTAAAGAACCCCCCGCGTCCTCATTCATGTGCCGTAGATAGGCTGCGGAGATTTCTGTCTGCACCCCCTCAACACACTCTCACACATACACACACACACTTGATGCGGTTGCTCTTTTTCTCCTGATGCAGGCTTTTCTCCCCTCTCCCCTGAAAAGTCTTAACGTCAGCACCAGTCAGCAATGTCACATCATAGAACATGGCTTAGGACTATATGCAAGCCGACACACACTCGCACCCACCCACTCGTACACACACACACACACACACACACGCATCGCAGATATATGAGTACATGTTCAACAATGATCTTACGCTGTCACATCTGAGCAGTCACAGCGGATTTCAGGTAAGGACTGCGTTCCCGGAGCTGCTTACGGATTCCCATCCAAACTCGCCACCCTCCCCAACACCTCAGGTACAACAGGAGGCTGGGACTGATCGATTACATAATTAGCCCTGGTTATGTGAATCCGAATTATAACAATAGTCCTTTACTCTGCCAGACAGAAATGTGCGTGATTAGGGATGTGGCGTGGTGCTGCCCTCTCCTCGTTAATTATCTACAGCTCTAATTGCCAAGTGAGGAGAGTGGGCAGGAGGTTTGGGCTCTTAATAGAGACAAAAAAATAATTGAATTCTCTCCCTCCTTTTCTCTCTCCTGCTCACACTTCTTCCCTCCTCCTCACTCACACTCGTTTGGGGAGCTGGGGACTCGTTTCATGTCTACCAAATTGGCAATTTATTCACGATGAAGTTGGTGGTGTTGGAGAGGCTTTGATGCTTTAGGGTGCTCTGATGGAGGGAGGTAGTCTGCTAGGTAGAAGGGGGGAGTGGGGGAGGAAAACGGAGAAAGACGGACTAAAAATTTGAAAAACTAAATACGAGAGACAGGGAAACAACAATGTGGGCTGTGGGGAGACGGTGGTGCTCGTTGACAATGTTTAATTTGCCCTCTTATTCACAGATAATGGGTTCTGAAGGTGGTACAGCATAAACTCACAGGCAGATTTAGCTGCAAACTCATATGTCAGAGCAACAACCTCCTCAACACCAAATGACAGATAAGCCTGCCTCCCCCGATGGAAACATTTTTCAAAACACGCACTTTCTCAGAGCTCAGCCAGGCGAGTAAATCCATTCTTTCCCCTACCCTGCCCCCCCCCCCCC